TCCTAGTAGTGCCACTCCCTATGAGCCTATGGGGGGCATTTTCATTCAAACTGCAGTCAGATTGCTTGATAGTCACTCTTAACTGGGGCAAGGTGGTACCTCAAAGTAGTTTTAACTTACATTTCCCCATAACTAGGTAGGTATGCAAACCCTTTTTTGAAACTTATTTGCAATTGGTGTTACAAGAAACTTTTAAATTTATCATGTCAATCAAACAAAATATTTAAGTACATATGGAAGCCTAAAATAAATTTAGCAAAAAGACCACAAACTATTATCAAAAACATAGCTATGTTGTAAATTTTAAAGGTAGATAAGGAACCTTGCCTAAGGAGAAACTGGCTGATGGGACATCTACCTAAACTGTCCCTGGGAAATCCAGGAACAATTTGCCATGAAGGTTTCTAATTACATTCTGTTCAGTGTCATCTCTAGGACCTGCAAGAGACTTTTCTGGTGACCAGGACAGGAAGTATACAGGGAATGTCCACAGAATCTTTCTGTATCTTAGAAAATCCCCAACACAGTGTATGCAGGGTAGTTCAAGATGCAGGTGACCACTCTCTTATTAGTCCTCCCAGGTGGTCATTAGCGTTCTTTCCAACCCAGAAGGCTTCTGAGGAGCCTTCTTGTAAAACTATTTCATAACACTAGTAAGTTATCTTGATGCCTGTCTGAAGACCCTAGTGGCCCACAGGTATCCAGGCTGGGGGGAGGGGGGGCATCTGTCTTTTCTTAAATCTAAGAACCCTCCAGCTGGACATATGCTACATCCACCAAATCTTTTAGCAGCTCTCAAGCTGATCCCCAAATCTGCCAAGCCTGATTCTGCTCAGTTTCATTCACAAATAACCAAACAGCCCCAGAAACAGGTAAGAAATGTTATTTATTTCAGAAAATAGATAGGGAAGCCCAGGGTAAAAGACACCTTCTATCTCAACAGTTCTAGGCTTTGGTTCCTAGTAGGGCAGGGCTATGATAGGGTGTGGTATGCATGCTGTCATCACAGCTTCTCTCATGATAAGAGAATTTCCTAAGATCAAGGTCCCACCTCTTTCCTCATGTGACCACAGCCAAATCAGTAGCACCAGCGGGTGTGTTTTTTATCACTTTAATGAGATTATAATTAGCCCAAGGTCCAATGGCTTAGGAATGTATGAACATGGCATCTGAACTAGACCAAGCCCCTACCGGGGATTGAGAGTGTATGATAACTTGATGGCAAGGATCTGGAAGCATGGGGTTATCAGTATCTGGCTTTAACAACAAGTGACATCTGAGAACAGGAAAACAGGCAGCCAGTAATTTCTGGGTTTAAGTTAATAACAAAGCCAACGACCTCAAACATAGACTAATAAACTAACAGACAAAATATTGCATTAAACAGCCCTTATTACTTTGCTTCTAAATCAGATACCAGAGCCTGGAATCATCTGTAGTTTAGTTATTTCACCTATCTTTCTACCCTCCCCGATACCCCCGAAAGCCAAAATCAGAGGGCTTGCATCTATCCTTGAACTAGAGAGCCACAGCTGCCCTTGCAGATGTACTGGCCTAGAGACCAGACACTTTGTTCCCACAGCAGGCTTACTTCCTTTTCTTTTTTCAAAAAGGAAGTTGGCACAGGTGTTCCACAGCACTGAGGCAGGGAGGCAGACTTCTGGCCTCACAGCAGTACAGGGACCTACGGACCAGAACCACTGGCAGCCAGAGGACTCAAAGTCCTACTTGGGTTGCCAGAAATTGTCATTGAGTGGAGACTTTGGGCCAGACACATATAAGAGCCGGTGCCTTGAGACTGAGGTTTTTGTGAAAAGAAAGGTTTATTGTGTGGCTGACTGATGAGGCAAGAACTGTAAGCACAGATCTCCTCACAACTGGTTGGTAGTGGGATGTTTATAGAGGGGTGGAGGGTGTTACTAATTGATTATAAGGTATGTCTCTTCATAGAGTCCATCTCTCTTGAGTTGAGGGTAAGGGTTATACTCTGCTCAAATGATTGTAAACTTGTGACATCATTGACAGGGTGTTGCTGAAATTCCTTATTCCCCTCCCTAAGATCCCAAAACAAACCAAGGTATTTGTTTTGTTCACCGGAGTTCACCCTGGGCACTCCTGAGTTATTGGACCTACTTACAGAGCATTGGTGAGGGCTTATGAGGGGGAGTGTGGGTATTTCTCCATTCCTCAAAGGGCTGAGCTAGAAAGTCTTTACCCAGCAGGGTAATGGCTTTCCCACAGTTACATAAATAGAACCCCTCCTCTGGTCCCCCTCCTATATACTCCAGCCCCTCCACAAGGCCATGTGCAATCAGAGCAGAATTGTATTCAACAGGTGATATGGAGGGGCTAGATACTCAGGTGAGGTCCTGTGACCCTCCCTGACCCTTCTTCCATGAGAGGATGTCAACAGTCCACAAAGCCAGCTAGAAAAATCATTTGCAAACAGGCATAGCTGAACTCCAAAGATGGCAGTTGTTTGGCTCAGATAGTCCTATACAGCACTCTCACCCCTTCCTCCAGTTCTTACACTCATTCCATCCCCATTTTCCACTAGGATCCCTGAGCCTTGGAGGGGGTGATAGATATTTGTCTATTTTTTTCCCACTCCAGCAAGAGGTACTGAATCCTCTTGTTCATCCCTCTGTCTTTACAACATGGCTGTCAGCAAGTCTTAGTAATATCCCTTCTACTACCAAACACAAATGAAAGGGAAGAAAATAGAAAAATGGAAAAATATCCAAACAGACCCTGACTGTAGGCATAACTTACAGGTGTAAACACAAATGCTTGGAAGGCACCTTCCATTAAATCCATCCAACAAGACAATTGCAGTGGCTTCTCCACTGGGGCTTATCACTTCCCTCAACAGCAGGAGCTGGCCTGGCCTGCAGTAGCAGATGTGTGTACCAGCTAGAATGTTGTTGGTTGTACACAGATTATTTGGGCCACTATTATGCCAGCAGGCACATCCTGCTTGGCATGTTGATGGTGCAGCACTGTTGGGTCCATCATTAAGCAGGATTGTGGCAACAGTTCTTTCCTAGGATCCAAATAGCATCTTCTGACACTATGAACACCAATCAATGGGACAGTTTCCAGCTTAACCCCAGCTTGATTTCTCCCTTTCTAAAGTTCACAGACCATGCTGTATTTAGTAGTCAGGGTCTTAGCATCTAGGTTTAACGTGCAATCGATACCAGAAGCAGTAGCCTTTATTGTTTTTGGGAGCCTCTGAGATTCTCATTTAGAAACTTCTGGGAGGCTTCTAGGAGGGCCTTCTGCCACCCACATAGGGTTCCTTCTGTGCTTAAGGCTTCCAGTTGTGGCTTCAACAACCCATTTTCTCTCAATTAACCTCTCCCCTTTAGGGTATGCACCTGATTGCCCTCTGCCTGGTTTTGCACATCAGTGCTCTTGAAAAGATAGTCCTATCCCTGTCAGTTCTCTGTGGGCCACCATGCATGACACTGAATTGGGTAAGGCCCTTGATGGCAGCCTAACCTCTCTACAAGTGAGTACACACTTTCACACCTCACTGAATGGTAGGGTCCCTGTATAATCTAGTTGTCTGTCCCCCACCAGGCAGAGGTTGACTTATGCACGTGTCCCATCATAGTATCCATCCATTAAGGCTGTAATGGGCTGGACAGCATCTGCCAGAGTATTTTATTGGAACACCAGTAGCTTTGACTATTTTTTGTGCTGGCTTTTCATGCTGTGGCCACATTTTATATGAACCCAGCAAGGCACCTTGGGGGCACCTAGGGGCAGATGGCCCTCACCTTGATAAAGGCACTTCCCGATTACCCTAAGAGTCTCAGAAGGCAGATTGGCTGCCACATGGCAAACCACCAAGAGTTCAAGCTCCTGCTCTAGCTTGCTGTATATTTTCTTCCATGTCCACTGCCCCACAGTGTCCCTCCCATCACCTGACAATTTTCTTTATTCCATTGAGCCATTCATAAGTTCAGGACTTTCAATACCACCAAACTGTCAGTAGAGATTGCTATGAGCCAAGGCTCTGCATTATTATTATCCATACGGCTCTTAACTCAGCCCACTGTCTACACTCTCCTGTTTCCAGCTGCACAGTGTCCTTGTTCATTCGTATTGCCACCATTACCCATTGTTTTTATTCTTTTTCTTTCTGTCTCCCTTCCTTCCTTCTTTCCTTCCTTCCTTTCTTCCTTCCTTCCTGCCTTCCTTCCTTCCTTCCT